ACAAAGCGATGGCTTGCGTGTGGCAATTTCAGTTAAAAAAATACAGCTAGGGCTTTCGAATATGGACTTAAGTACTCTAACATGAGTATACTCTAATTTTATGGTGCATAAAGATTTTTATCAATTTTTAATATGATGTCTGCTCAAACAAAGAACGTTTATTTCCAGTAAAATTAATGCATCCACATATTGCATGTTGTAAGAAAGAGCATTTCTGATTCGTTGTTTACTAAATATTTATTTAATGTATTGTTAGCTGTTTTTTTTTGTTGTTGTTGATTTTCTTGCCTCTGCATCTTTGGTAGCATCTTATCGTTTTTGCTGTGTTAACTTGATGCCTCGCCCAAAAATTGTCAAAAAATCAAAGTCGACTTTGATTTTTGATGCACTTTCACTGACGATCGTTGATCGTTGTGCGTTGTGCGATGTTCCTTGAATGCAGCGTGAGATACTCGAATCTGAAGACTCGGCGAAGGCTGAGTTCGACTTTGATGACTGCCACCTACTTGGCCAGTTTTGTTTTGAGGGCCAAGAGTCAGTCAACTGTGTGCGGTGCGTCTGTGTGGCTAATTGAGTTGCCCAGTCAAGAGCGATCGGCCGTGCGAATTATTTGTCAACGTGTAACGGTTAAATCTGTTCTGTGTTGTTGCTCTTGCAACGTTCAAACAGTAATCGGAGCTACTGATTGATGGCTGAATGAGGAGCGTAGCGAATCTTTAACAAATTGCCGGCAGTGTTTGCTTCCTTCGCTGGGCAAAACTTCCTTAAACAAACGACGATCTATAATTGGGTTGGACTTTGACTTTTCCCCGTATCCAGGTATTGATCTTTCTTTTAGCCATTTCGCTGGGTTTTTTTTACGTGCCGCACACAATGCGGGCGAGGGCGTGGCCGGCGTGATTTGGTGTCGCTAATTACAGACTGGGAATTTAACGCAGCCCGTTTTATGGCTTAATAATTGCAATCATTTGGCTCGGTCGACTCTGACTTTTACTAAGACCAAAATGGGCCCACACACAGATCTCGCTGCACACGCAAATGGATGCGAGTCCCGCAAAGGTTTCGTTGCATTCAGTTTCAGTTGTGTTTGAGTCGCAAACCACGTTCAAGAACTCACATCAATCAGCCAAATGCATTTTTATTTTGTTTTTGGGGTCCACATTGGCGCAAGCAATTATTGTGCAACAATTAAAGGATCAGCGTAAAATGTTCACACAACAATGCCAAAATAAACCGCCGGAAACGGAAACTATGCGCACTTCAATCCAAAACTACTCAGGCACCCCAACGAAAAAAAATAGAAAAACCTTAAAAAATGTTGCGGTTTGTCTTGTTTTTGAATGGTCCTTTAAACTGCAGCAAGGAAAATGTGCTCAGAAGAGCATGAGAAAATCTTTTTGGGTGCCCAAGAAAACTATCTTGGAAAAAAATGCGTTTAAAATATCAAGACCAGAAACGGTACTTTACTGGTATGACAACCTATTAAAAATGATTAAATCTCCGTTAAATAAGGATATTTATTCTTGATCAGGATCAATAGCGAATCGATCGAGGCATCTTCTTCTTCTAATTTGGAATATAGACTATCGTATAACAGTTTGAACATATAGACATTCAAATATGATATTCCGCTACGATATTTTTGTTCCGGTACGGTTCGGGACAAATAATAGTTGTTCCGGTGTTTAGCTCTTAACAACATTTTAAATTCATGTTCTGATTCCGGTTCCGATTTTAATTTTGATTTGAAACATTTTCTAAATATTAAAACAAAAGTTATTTCTGCCAAAAATGAATATAATAATATAATAATACAATATATAATATTATTTAATGCGTTTACTACCTCAGCGTCTAAGAAACCCTTGGACTCATAGGCAAATATAGAACGTTTTCGTACTTATTCCAATTGCCTATACGATCCATGATCTAACCACAATAAAGGTATAAGATATATTGACCGCAGCACAAATGTGTGACAAGGACACGCAAAGAACTGTGTTAAGGATTAAGCAGAATTTGACAAGTTCGACAGAGCAGTGAATATCTTATTGTGTTGCATTTGCAACTAACTTTAAGCCCAATTAGCTGTCAGCATTCAGTGGGCTTGTTATGCGGTCTGCCAATTCGATACCATGCCCCATGGGGACACTAATAAGAAGTGACAAATTGATGGTGTTAAAGCTCATTAACTTGTTTAACGCAGATACAGATACACTTATAATACGAATTGGTAACTGCTTAAGCAGACTCCTGGTCAGAAAACCCAAAAAAAAAAAAAAACAACAACCTCAAAATGAAGCGCGCCAATTATCGACATGACAAATTTTTGGTACATTAATTCTTTTACGACCTGCTGCCGGAGCGGCAAACACAGAAAACCCACAAAATACATTTGTGTATGTGTATATGTGGTTGCAACAGGGCGACGTACCCTTAAGCTGAAACTGGAACTCCAAAACCAAAACCAAAACTCGAATGCATAATAATACGTGTTAATAATGCTCAGGCAAGCTGTCTATAAATTGACAAAGACATGCAAGACTCCGACTACGGGGGGACTGGACTCAAAACACCGACTGAAACTTTTGCTTTTGGCTGGCTTTTGGCTGTGCGGTTGCAACAAGCAGCGGCGACGGCGGCGGCATTGCCAAAAGCAGCCTGGGGTCGCTTGCACGTACATCAGTTCCCATTCCCATTCCCATTTCCATTCCAAGTTCCCAGTTACCATTCATGAATTCTAACTAATTGTATTGGCGAGAGCAGTTGCAACTTTTGCTCAAAGATGGAAGCTGGATCGAATCTGTGCAGCTGCACACACAAGATCGACAAACGTAGCTCGGTTGCACAAAGCTTGGCAGGAAGAGGTCCCCAAAACGCAACCGAAATCGAAACGCATCTTTTGTTGTTGATTATTATTGTTGTTGTTGTTGGTATCGTGGTGAGCCGAGACCTAAACAATTTGTGTAATTGACAAATTGACGGCGACGCTTTTGTGCGGAAGCGTTCAAAGCCGTAAATTGTCGCTAACAAGAGAGCTCGATCCCAAGGAACTTGGCCTGCAACTGCGACAGGATATTGTGGGGCTACCTTCATAATTGCCACTGTCGAGGGAGACGCCCGCACCGCCAACTCTAAATTAAGTCATTAACAATTTAACGAAGCGCTGTCGAAGTCGCGCCGGCTAACTAATTATGTGAATTTCCTTTTGATTGTCCGAGCTTTGGTTTTTGTTTTGTTTATTTTTATTTTGATTTTTTTTTTTTTTGGCAACGCCCGAAAATCATTTTATAAAACAAACAGCAACAAACAACAAAACTGCCCACGTAACAATGTCCTGCCGCGCCCACAAGCGGCCGCCCCCGAAATTGCCATTGTTTGATTGTTTAGTGGCAGTGGCGGATCGTCAGTCGTCGAGCTATCAACAAATTGGTTTTGTATCTACCGAATGATTGAATCGCTGACCTGCCGGACTGACTGACTGGCTGACTGACTGAACTCCTGTGAACTGCTCTGCTCTGCGCTGCTCTGCTTTTCAGCTCAATGAATTGGCCGAGAGCTTAAGCCAGCTTAGTCTTAGCCATTGCCGTTGCCTTTGTCGGTTATCCACCAACAGCGATCATCCATCGATGTTCGCTTTAAACGATTTGTGTGAGTGGCGCTCTCGATATTTATTTTTTCTTATTTTTTGGGGAACTGCTAAAAGCAGATCAGCCCCACACTTAACTTAATTTGGCAGCCACACTCCGCTGCCCAGTGCCGTATAATTATCGGCACAATACTGTTCGTGGGGATCACTTTTCGCGTATTTGTTTTAGGCCAGCTTATATTATATACATATATGTATGTATGTGTATATGTAGTCGACTGCCGGCGACTAATTTCAGATGAACTGTCTACAAATTGATCGCGAAGCGCCAAATCGATCACCTTGCTCCACATAATAAAGTCGAACCCAAGCAACGCGCGACGGACTCGCCAAGCTGTGTGTGAGAATCGATGCACTGCGATAAATGAGGTGCCTGGCAAGGAAGCGCCAAGAAATGGCGCAAAAGGTGAAGACATTAAGTGAACTTCAGATTGGAAGAGATTGATAGGAGCCCAGTCTTTTAAGTTAAGCTACCTCAAATGTAAACAACTCAAACTCAACAGCTTAGGGATTAAGATTGCATATATGTATACATATGTAACGGGTATTACTTAAGCCACTTCTCATAACTTGCTTAAGATTACATAACGAGCATGGTCGAAACCCCCTCAAAATATGAAAATTAAAATCAAATCAGGCCATTGATGTTTTACAAATTAAAATTTCTTGAATTTGGTAAGAAATATTGAGATATGAAGTTATACTTTGTATACTATAAATTTATTAATTTTTCTAACTGATTCTCCTTCACTACATTTTCATGGAAAAGGGGAAACTTATTCTTTTAATGAGATTATTTTCAAATTTGTAAGTCCTGCATTGAATTTAATCGTATTTTCAGTGAAAGCAAGTATTTATTGGGGAATGAGATTAGTTTTTGAATAGGGACTGAGAAGTATATATTCTAAACATAACTTCTGAAATATATATATATTATATTCCTAAATAAATTATGCGAAGACACTAATTGCATATTACTTTTTTAATGCGATTAATATATCGCCTTGATATAGATACAGAACTCCTATTGCCTTTGAAATTGATTACATTTATTGTCAGAGATCTTGCAAAGTCTTCATCCGATTCCGTTGAGATCGCTAACATAAAAAATGAATTGGACATTTCCATTTCAAATATCTACAAGCTGGCCAGAATAAACACAACAAATTGTATAATATTCAAATTTTTATTTCAAGTCTTACTATTTGATGGTGATTAAACAATAAACAGCACAATACTTAGGCAATAATTTACTACTGGGCTCTAGTTTGACATACATATACATACATATATTTACTAATACTATATATACAGAGAAGGTACAACATTTGGCAAATGAATGGGTAGCTGCGTCCATTTAGCGCAACAGATCACCCAATGCCGAGATGTAGGTCTGGGCCATCTGCAGGGTCTCGTGCTTGGACAGCTGTCGATCATTGCCCAAACAGGGCAGATACTGACGCAGTCGATCGAAGGCCGTATTCAGATTCTGCATGCGACGACGCTCCCGGGCGTTAGCAGCCAGACGACGCTTCCGCTTGACCACCGGTGAGATTTGCTTGTTACGACGCTTCTTGCCGGCACCGCTGGCTGGTGCATCCGGATTAGCGGAGGCATCCTCACTATCGCCATCGCCCAGCTCGAAGGAGCCCTCGTTGCCATCCCCATCGAAGTCATCGTCGAAGAGCATCATGTCATCGTCATCCTCGACGCTGTCATCAAATAAAGCCGAATTGTCGAAATCAAAGCTTTGGAAGTCATCGCCATAAAGTTGCACATTGGGATTGTTGTTGTTGCACTGAGATGTGGGCGCGGCTGTGTTTGTTAAGGCGTTTACCGTTTCAGTGGCTGCCACTTGCTGATTCTTGCGGGTGTAGCTTCGCTTGGGCTTCGCCGTTGGAGCTGCCGCTGGCAACGTCTTACAAGTGCCCACATTAGGTGAGCCCATGATAACCAATGCGGACTGTGGTGCTGCAGCGCCTATAGCAACCGGTGCTGCCTGCTCCAGGGTCAACGGGAACTGCTGTGCTTGCGGCAGGACGTTGCAGCCATTGTTGTAGATGGTATTGAGATCAACATACTCGGGACTCTCGGAACGATGGCTGGACGGCGATGAGGTGATCCAACCATCGGAGCTGGCCTGCTCGAAACTGATGAAGCCATTGGCCGATAGATAATTGCTGGAGCTGGCCAACGAATTGCAATTGAACTGATAGTGTGTAACGGCTGGATTATAGGCAGCCATGGGATTAAAATATGGCTCCGTTGCGCCAGCCTTGAAACCCTGCAAATCCTCGGAGGTCTTGTAATAGTAGCGATATATCTCACTGGACGACATGTCGTTTGAATATTTATTTATTATTATTTAGTGCAATACAAAAACTTAAACCGTTCGCTGTGGTTGCTGGCGAGTTTCTGACTGAAGGCTCATCCTGGCAGCGCTATTTATACGCGCAGCTCAAAAATCCACCACGCAAACGCAGGTAAAACATGGACGAGGGGACAAGGGAATCAGGTAAACAAGTTGCCTTGCTTACCTCCTCGGACTACTTACCTCGGCCCAGTTGGCAGCACGTGCCGTCCCCGGCCAACAGCCAATGGCAATCGGTGGTGAATTGTGTTGCCTGCTTTTGTGTTGGAATTCACAGCACCTTTTTGTTGAGCTTCAGCATCAGCTTCAACTTCAGTCTTCGGTTTCATGTGCAAAATGGCGCTGGCGAAAAAAGACAGAATAGAAGAAGAGGAAGAATATGCGCTGGCGCCTATCGTTGGCAATCTAAAGCCGTTAACAAGATGATTATGGGGTTGAGGGCTGAGGGTTGGCGTCCGGAACAGGGGCGGAAATGCAAACAAAACCTATAACCGGATTAGGTTAACCATCAAGTGCTGCTAAATTTGCAAATATCCAAACATAAGTACCCGCAAAGATTGCCAACAATGATTTGTCAGCACCAAACTGGCCGGCAGCCAAAGAGCAGCAGCATCTTATCTAAATCATCGCTGGGACACAAGACCAAAAGACCAAAGCCGCTAAGCAAACTCATGTCTCATGCCTCATGGCCCGAAACTCTACCTGCTGACCACACCTTTACAAATCTGCCGCCGACAGGCGATTCGGCATGCTTGCGATGACCAATGCCCAACAATTATATATCGCAATGAAAAATCTTGTTTATTACAAGCTGGCGAAATTTTCCAATTGATACACTCGGCGCCTGCTTGTTAGCCAAGCGTCAAGGACACGCTTGGTACACTCAGCAAAATAAATGGTGCTACAGTATCGAGGAATCCTCAACTCAAATTATGTTCTTTTAAAATTTATAAAAAAAGGAGCATATTTATGTAATGTAAAGATTAGCATATCATTTTTGTATATTTAATGAAAATTATTGTAAATTTAAGATCTGTACTTTCATAATGTGATGAAAGTCGGCCTTTAGGAAAAACAGAGTCTGGAAATTTCAAAGATGACTTGGAACCAAACCAAAAATAATATTTCTTAAATGCCTGAATAGTATAAATATAATATTTCTTTAAATTTTATTTTGCTTTTGGGTATGCTTTTCTTATTTTAGAGCACATATGTTTTTCTGAGTGTAGGTTCGATGCAGTTGAAGACTGCTCGCCTTTGGGCATGCCTAATAAGCGTGCCCAGCGCTAACCAACTCGGATAGTTAGGCTAACATTTTAGCGCTAACAATTAGTATAGGCCCAGGCAACTTAGTTATACCCCAAGGATGAGACAGCATATTTAGGCGCCGATGGTGGTCGAGTCAGAATCGTAAGCAACGCCCTGCAATACGATAATGATTCGTTGGAAATCATATTGATATAAAAAATCTCTTTATGCTGCCGCTGGCGCAGCTTGCCGTTGTGTGGGCCGCATTAGCACGCCCCAAGTTGCATGATGCTTTTGAATATTTGCGCAACCCTAGGGGTATCTTGGATAACGCATCTACGGGCGGCAATAAAACGTTGTCAATTAGATAAAAATGTCACACAACAAACCGCACCGAGAGCAGCACAACAAATTTATTGGCCAAAAAAAAGACAGGCAGTCAGTCGGGCCAAAAACAACCCCTGCGATGGTTTTTCCCCGTGTCCTGTTGCAAGTGCAATTTACGAGTACATTGAATCGGCTTCGATTTCAAGAACGCGCGGCGTGCACACAAGTGACAGTTGTGCATGTGACGCCTTCGGTTACACCTGCAGCTGAGACGGACAACCAACGATCGTATCGAAAGAAGAAGCAGATGCAGGAGAAACCCTCTCTCTGGTTAGCTTAAGTTTATGCTTATCGATCCTGGCTGATGTTGAGGCATCCGCCAACTAAACGTTTGCATATCGATTTGAATTTTATGCACATTGACATCAACTCGCAACAATAAAATTAACAAGCGAAACAACAACAACAAGCATCGTGTAAAAGGGCACACGTGCTGCAGGAAAGAGAGAGAGAGAGAGAGGGAGAGAGAGAGAACTAGAGAGAGAGAGAACTAGAGAGAGAGGAAGAGGGAGAGCGGGGTGAAAAGGGTTAGCTATTCAGAGAGTCATCTTGATGCTGTTCCTTACCATGCTCAGAGGCGCCTTGCGTGCCTGTCACTTAAAGAGAGATCCCAAAACTGCAGCCACTTATAGCCGGTTAAATATGAACAATGAATGCGGCATATACCTCAATATATACGCACATTCACATTCACATTCACATCCACATCAATCCATTGGGTAACGGGTCATACTTTTCGTGTCAATACGCATAAGGGCAACTTGTGTCTGAAGCTCGGGTCCTGGTCCTGGTCCTCTGTCATGTTTATGTGGATGTGGATCTGATGTAGAGCAGCTTCCAGAAAGCGCATGCCAAAAACTGTTAACAAGAAATCTAAAAAAATTTCAACGAAGCTTTAATGCTCTCACACAAGAGTCTTAATATATAACTTTTTAAAGATCTATACTACATTTACTAAGAAATGTTCTAATATAACATTTTAGTTTAAATAAGTTGCGGCAGCTCAGAAACCATAGTTATTATAGAATTAACTAAATCTGATTAATTAAATATGTCTATTAGGATATTAACATTTATCACACTCAAAAATATTTGTAAATAATGTTGAATATTATCATCCAACATCTACGAATTTAAAATTGCAAAATGTTAACCTCGAAATATATTTCAGATATCCACTAAAAATCTCTTGTAAATCTCTTAAGAAATGATAATCGGACAAACCTAAAACATTATTTATCCAACGTAAATAAATGTAGTTAACTAAATTTGTAATACACATCAATAAAAAACTTTTAAATAGAGATATCAAAAAAGGATTTATGATAAACAACTTTCACTGCTTATAATGTACACTTACAAGCTGCCACATTTTGTTGCCGCAAAGGTGTAAAGTTAATCATAAACTAAATATGCCCGGTGCTTTTGAAGTTTATTGATGAGAAACGTGTAGGAGCTGTAAAGACGCCAATCATGAACAAAAGTAGGCGCATGTCAACGACTACAATTAGCCAGTCGCTCTAGGCCGTGAAAGTGTTGTCCGGACTCCGGCTGCGATCATTTTCGGCAGTCCGTAGCCTAGTTATTTTTTAACGTAAATTGATATTTTGTTGTTGTGTGTGTTATTTATTTTATTAGCATTTAACACTGTGCCGACTCAGACGATTTCAACTGATCGAGAGGAATGCAATGAGCGAAAGTCAATCGGAAGCAGGACTGCCACATGCGATCCCCTCAATGGAATTGGTCACTGGGGGCATATACACACACACACACACACGGGTTTCAGGTGGGTGGCCCCAATGCGTTCGTGTTCGGCATTTTGCCAATTGTCAAATTGAAAATTCATTAAAAGCCAAATGAAATATGTAAATCCAAAGTGAAATCAGCTGCCGAGACGTACATTGTTCGCCAACTGTTTGACGGCTGCCTTTGCAAATATTGACGGGGGTAGCAAACAGGAAAAAAATATGATATGTAAACTCCAATCAAACAGCGCTCAAGCGCAAAAAGTCAAGTGAAAATCAAAGCAAATAGCTCAGTTCAGCAGTCTGTTCAACATTTTATTTTTTTTTGTTTGTATATACATAAATTGCATATTGCTTACACAAATAAAAAAAATGTTGCAAGGGGCATGGGTTAATTCCCATGAAAATTAAAACTAGATTATACACACGCTCTCAGCTGAGGGTAGGCAAAAAAAAATATTCTGCTGCTGCTGCTGCTGCTGTTGCTCGTTGTCCTTTGGCCAGGTCAATGCAGCGCCCACTGTGTCATTGTTTGGTCACGCCTGCAGGCAACCAGGCAACCAGCCAGTCAGTCAGCCAACCAGCCTGTTGTTATAGATTGCATACTGATGGTTATCACAACTGCCGGAGTACAAGATACATTCATATCTGAATCTGATGGGATCAGAGCGAAGCGTAACAATTTTTGTCGCACGGCTCGACTTTGAAGCCCGTTTGGGTATTTGTTTTGCCAACATTTGATGGCTATCTTTGGTGATCTTTGGCAACTGCTTGGCGCCGTACCAATGACCTTAATCCCACTCAGAACAACTTTGACTAATTCGTTGGCATTCATCTTGTATGCGCAATTTGTCTAAGGCGTTTAGACATCAATTTCATGGCTGTGCTGTCTACTTTTGAATTGAAATTGGAAATCGGAATCGGAAGTAGGCATTATAATCGACAAATTATGATTGCTATTTTGATAGGCTAAGGGCTGGGGACTGTGTCCAGGCGATCCCACGTTACCCTTACCCAGATCAAAGCGCAATGATCAATTCAAATTTGAAACAGTGAGAACTACAACAAGAAGCGCACACAAAAGATGAAAACTACGCAATCACTTGAGAAAAATCAAAAAGGCCTCAAGGATCCGAGGACCTCTGGCTGCTGCTGCTGCTGCTGCTACTGCTGCTGCTGTTGTAGCTGCTACACCTTCGACAAGCATAACAGGTGGCACGGAAGCCGCACAAAATAAAAATGATTAAAGCAATAAAAACGCACACCAAAAAACAAAATATAAAAAATAACAAGAGAGAAAAGGGCCACGAAAGAAATAACAATTTTTAATAAGATTTTCTCCTCGCTCGTTGAGCAACAACATTTTGTGAACAACAAGAACAACAACAATAACAGTGCGCCTAGAAGAATGATGATGCTGGTGCTGGTGCACAGGAACAACTTCCGATCCTTGGCGGGCGTATCCGACACACAGCGGGTCAAGTGTGAGAACATTTTACGGAAGGATGTGGCAACAGGATAAATTATGAAAAATGATCGCCTAAGCGAAGGGTTACAATCAAAGAAAACAGCACCACGTGGTCA